TGTTATTATAAGCCCAGATTTTCTGTAACCGAAATTATGAAAAGCGAAAATCTTTATATTACCTATGTACTTTTTTTTCTTACCAAGTTATTGACGCCGATTTGTCTTTAAATATTGAACTTATCATTTCCAGATGTGCTACTTAGCAACAAAATTGAACTCTACGATGCTAAAGAACAGCAGTCTACAGTCACCATCAGGCAAAGGATTCGAGCAGATCTTGCGAGAGCTGGCACATCATTCATTACCAGACACTGGGTACACTGGACGACCAACCGTACAGTGACAATGAACTATGCATTTAAAAACTGTGAAAAACTCATCGGTTTATCTATTTCCTTGAATAGATAACACATCGATTTTTCCCAATAGTTTTAAGTAGATAGTAGTTATAGTTTTTTACTAAGTTTTTCCACTCTCTGCAAGCAGTTTACGTAAATACTGCTTTTACAAAATGCTTGATTGAGCGAAGAATTAAATGCTGGTTGTAATATTTCGTAAGTTAAATCAAAGTAATCGATAAAGAATCTCAAAATAGGTAAGTTTATTGCATCCTGCATATCAGTTCAAGCTCAACAAAAACAATGAATTGATTTTTACCAATATTAGGGCATTAGCTTGGTCATCGCAATTTTACAAGTCCCAGAATTTCGATCGACTTTGCATTTTATTAAGCAAAGTCGTCGTTTGGGACAACAAGAATTTAAAAAATTGAATAAACCCATTTAGGGACTGTCGCTTGAATTTAATAATTAGTAAAATTAATTTAATTTATTACTTATGACTGAAAAATCGCAAGTTGATATCTTTGCAGATAACTTGGTAATTTTTTCAGTCATGACTGTCACATGAATAGTATTAATAATTTAATTTAATAATTTATTTCCGAAATAATTTTTAATGTTAGTGTAAATTAAGTTCAAATATAAGAAAAAAAGTTTCATTGGTGTTTTATTATATTTATTTAAAGGTGATTTATTTATGAACCTACTATTGGGAAAGAGAGCATGGCAAATGCATCGCTGTATAATGTTAGACAAATGGTGCTAATGAGTTTTTATCATTAAATTACCATGATGTTTGTCAATGTTTGAAAAGTAGGTAAGCCCGAATCTCAACGACATTTCCAACCTAGCTAATGAAATAGTTTAAAATTCTAATTAATTATACCTATAGGTCTATTTGAGATGAATAATCAAATATTCTACTAGAGCCTGGCAAACGAAAGTAGAGACTAAAAAAACCCAGCAAATTTAAAAAATATCAGTATAGCAACCCAAAAATTAGTATGTCATACCTGGAGTAACCAGACGTGAAGAAGAAACAAACAAACAAATTATTATAAAGTATCAAACTATGTTACTACAGCTGCTGACATACTAATTTTTGGGTTGCTATACTGATATTTTTTAAATTTGCCGGGCTTTTTCAGTCTCTACTTTCGTTTGCCAGACTCTACCTACATTATTATATCAGTTTATCGTGAAAAATACAAGATATTGCTATGGGAATGAGAATATGAAAAAGCCATTAGGTAGCTGGAGTTATAATGCAGCTGCAGTAATGGAAATTGATTATAAATAAATAGGTAATAGGTAGTTCAATCAGTCTAGACATGGAAACAAGAATTAGCATGTGAATGTGCGAATTATCTTGATTTTTTTTTCTTTATTGGCCACCGAACAAATTATCTTGATTTTCGAACGTACAAGTCAGCGTCTATGTCAAGCATCAAAACTGCTTGTCTGTTTGGCACATTCCATCCAATAATCCATTTTAAAGATAGGTATTTTCAGCAATTTTTATCTGCTACTTCTTTCTCGCATCTCGCATGTCTATTCGGCTGTCACTATCATGTGTCAAGTGTCAACTTGTCAAGTCAATGTTTGTTTTTCCAAGTGATCGGCAAAGTTGTCAAATAAGTAGTTTATTTTGAAAATATCTATAATAAAATTAACAATAATAATGAGCAAAAGAAGTGGTGCTGCTATGGCTGTAAATCTTAATTCAAAGAAACCAAAGCACTGGTCGCTGGGTTTACTAGAAAGTATGAAAGATCCCGAATGTATTGTGATGAAGTCAAAACAAGTTGTCGTTATCAAAGATAAATATCCCAAAGCCAAAATTCACTACTTGGTGCTGCCTGAAGCTGATATTAATAGTATTTATGCGTTAGAAAAGAGTCATATAAAACTTTTGGAGGAATTTGGAGAAATATTTGAAGAGATTAATAAAGATGAAAAACTGCCATTAAGAGCCGGTTTCCACGCGGTTCCCAGTATGCAAAGGCTACATATGCACATCATAAGCACAGATATGGTATCGCCTTGTTTAAAAACAAAACTGCATTGGAATAGCTTTACTACTAAGTTTTTTAGACCATATGCAGGTAAGTTTTAAATAGGTACACATAACTTTGGTTTCGACAAAATACAGGTCATTTACATAGCCCACTCTGTTGCTAGAGTCTTCTCAAGTGCACTACCAAATTATAAAGCTATGCTTTGATACCCAGGTCCCATTTTTTTCTATTTCCTAATCCATTAAGACATTTCTCCCAAGGTCCCTCAAGGGGTCTCGGGTTCGATTCCCAGGTCAAGCAAAGTACTACTGGGGTTTTTAAATATACTCAGTGTAGCATGGAGTCTGGGATTGTGCTTAGTATATGGCAATAGGCTGACCGCTTATTACATGGGACTCGTAACATAAATGGTGAAAAGTGGGTGTTACGTTGTACAGTGGTATTAAGTGCTGTAATGTGCACCTCTGCGTATACCTTCAGGGATAAAAGGCGTGATGTTGTCTTACATCTAGAATAGTACCCTCTTTCTGTTGTGGGTTGCTTCTGCTTCCTTTGTTCGGGGTATAAAAGAAGCGGTTGTTAGTTTTTTAATAAAAGATTATTTAGAAGTAAACATTGTTTATATTTTGAATGAAAGTTTGATTTTCTATAATTAATGCCATTGCAATAAACAGTACTTACATTGTATTTTTTTTGGATTGCATTGTTAGTGAAATTAACAAAGTTCGATTTTATTTCTTACAGATGTTTTAGAAGAATTAAAAGAGAAAGGTTGTATTACAAAAATGGCACCAGAATTAGTACAAAGTTTTAAATCAAGTGAACTTCAATGCAACCAATGTTCAAACAAACCAAAAACAATGCCACAACTTAAAGAACATTTACTAACACATATAAAAAAGGAGAACAATTAATCAGAATATTAAACTATGTCTTTCTTAATTATTTTGTAAAATAAGCATTACAAGCTACAGATAAATTTTGTGTACTTTGCTATTAAAAAATAACTATTTAAGTAGTCATCAATAAGATTTACAGAATACATTTTTGTCATGTACAACTTATCAATTTAGATACACCTATCTACATGTATAAACTAAAATACAAACCATCACATCACATAAAACTGGCTTAAGTACCAATTTGGATGGTGTACACATTATTATACAAAAAAAATTATATATTTTACAAAAAATGCCAAGATATTGCTGCAATCGTAGAATCTTGTCAAGTAACAAGTTACATTCATGATTACATTTCATAATATAAGTGCAAAATGTTAAATTATAGTAATAATTTGTTGAGTCTTGATTCTATTTAAGTTCTAATTTATTAAAATTTCTAAGAAAAGACTTTATAACATTGCACATTATTTATTGCCTAAAATTTCCTGCACTTTAGTTACAAAATACAATATACATTTATACCTATGTATTTTTTCATTCTAAAAACTAGGAATTGAGCTACTTATTCCTCAGTCCATATTATGGAGGTTTATAAAAGTTCAAACTAGAAAGGGGTGCAAAATTAGTAAGATAAATATTATCTTTACTACAAAGACTTTTTCCTAGGTGCTTTCATTTCTAACATTACCGACTCAACTATTTATGTATTGACAATCCTTACAGGGAAAAATACAAAGTTCTGTCATTATTGTTGAATTAGTCAACGAGATAAATTATCTACACGTGTGTATTTAGAACTAGGGCTATCTTCGTCTAATATAGAAGTTGTCTCAGTACTACTACTTCCATCTTCTGAAACATTATAAATGGACATGTTTCGTCTCTTAAATGACTTCTTCTTCCCATCGGATGATGGTGTTCTACATTCATATATCAAACTGTCGCAATTATTTGCTGGTGTAGAAGATTCAGGTGTGGATGTGGGTGAAGAGTTTTCATTCCCACTCGGTGTGACCGGTGGTGGAAGGCAGAGTGACAGCTTTGATGACTTGATAGGAGTTTGCAAAACTGGTTTTGGTGGAGACTCTAAATTTTGATTTACAATCAGTTCATTAACTTCAACACTTGGGTGTCTCATTTCTTTAGCTTCAACACATGGTTGTCTCATCTTCCGACCAGACCTTGCCATTACAACTTGTACTGGGTCATCAATTCCAAGTTTCTCACAAAGCTCTACTGTTTGAGGATTTAGTAATGGCTCTTGAGGAGTAATTTTTGGTGCATTTGGATTGAAAGGAGCAGCAGTCCTGACAAAACTATTTTCTGTTAATAAAAGACTTCCAAGTAAACTTCTCACTTTTTCCTTCTCTGCTTCTGTAGGTGTAAAGTCGTACCTCTCATTTCCACCAGGTCCAGGCATGTGCTGATTAACATTTTTCACAGCTAGCAAATGGTTTGTATTCCTCAAAATTGCTAGCCATTCCACATCATGTTTCAGACACATGTCACCATCATACTCAGAAGGTATATCCAAAATCTGTAGATGTTTTCGTTTAGGTAAACATTTGTCCAAAGCTAAAAATTTTGTCTCGGACTCCTCATGTTTCACAATTGCTGCATACTGGCAATGCAAATGTGCTGCAAACCAATAATCTGGTTTGAGAGATTGGAGTAGCTTCATAGCTGGAACACTGCCTAGTTGACCAGACTCTATGTCTTCCCTGAAAAAAAAGATTCAGAACATAAGTATATTGTCTACAATAAAAGTGGAGAATAGTCGCACACATCACACATACATACAGCTCTAATGCTAAAAACCATAATTTTATTTATTTGGACATCCAGTTGTCGCTACATTTTTATCATTAATTTAAAATTAGGAATTAATCTTACTGCTAATGCACAACATTTGAAGGACATCACAGCATGCATTGAGTTGAGAATACTATATCAATTAAATTAAATTTACTTAATTTGTCTACATTACCAAATTTGCAATAAATAAGAATTATATAATTTGATTTTTAATTAGAGTGATAATAATGCCACTTGATGTAATAACAATATTGTTGTGTGGACCAATTAAACAGAGAAAATCAATTATCAATCACAAGAAGAAATCACAAGAAAATCAATTATTTGAACTAAAATAAAAAAAAATATAAGAAATTAACATACCTCAAAAATGTTTTGAAGTGCAATAACTTTTCTGTATTGCCATAATCAGTGATCCCTCTTGGCCAATCATGGGACAGCATTACATGGACTTTTTCTTTAAGTTGGTCTAACCTGAACACTTCCAAGGATCTGACATGGTACACAGTTCTAAGTGAACTTTGATTGTAGGGCAGGCATTCCCAGTGTCCTTGACCATAATCCTGACCTTTGTAAATTCCTGACATTCCTGGAAAATATTGATAAGAAAACTTGTAAGTACAATAGACAAAAGATTAAAAAGACAATGGACCTTATCTCTAACATTCATTGACAACACAATACAATAGAACAAATTTTGTTTAGATCTTACCTCCAATTCTTAAGTCTCCAAACTTAACAACTCCAGCTCTGCCCAAATAATAAATATTAGGAGCCACCCAACCTCCATAGGGAAGCTCTTGCAAGTAGTTTGAAGCTTCATGATTGCCTCCAATGAATATTGTCATTATAGGAGCTTTCTTCTCACCACTATAATATCTGCAAAAAAATAGACAATGTTATTAGTAAACAAAGAAGGGAAATGTGTTACATTAATTGCTTAAATTAGATTATTTACCATTAAGACAGTAAAATCACACAAAAATCTAGTTAGAGGTTGAAAACTCTAGTTAAAATCTTACTTGTGAAATGAACACATATGCTGATATTTCTGTGGCACAGCCATAGCCCGCAGGTCCTCGTGGTTACGAACGGCTTGGAAGTCACCGCAGCATATCAACAAATCGATCTTTATGCCTTCCTTCTTCTGTATTGTTTCAATACACTCGTATATTTTTTCGAGCTCGCCATGGGCGCAACCTTCTACAGCGATTTTCATTTTAAATGATTACACACAATGTCCAACGTTGAGATCTTTTGGTAACTCTATACTCAGTAAAAAATATTTTTTACTAACAATATAATAATTATAACCTATTTTAATAACACCACACAACACAACTACGCCGCGCTCTAGCACAACACAAACTGTAAACATTTTATGACAGCCGTGCCAGCGTCCAAAATGACATGGCCAGTGTGACCAGTTTTTTACAATTTTATATAGTGATGTAATGATATCGATTTTTTACGTAATTAAATATCGGTTTTTTATAGTAGTTTATTTTGAAAATGTAGTTTTTAATTATATGTATTTTTTTTAATGTTTAAAAGTTATTAATTTTTTTCTATAATTAATAATTCTTTGTATATATTTATACTATTCATGCATTTAATTCAAAAAGTCTGGTCACACCGAAAACATTGTTTCGGTGTCCGTTTTAGTATTTAATAAATAATGAAAAAAAATAGATGAACCGCTTTTATAATTTATTTAAAAATAGATTTTTAATAGAATAGAAATTAGCATAGAATTCCTTACATTTTCATTATGATCACTTGTTTGCAATTCATAAACAATGACGTAATTGCTTTGAACTTTTTAATGAAGTGGGTTAAAAATAACACGCCATATATAAAATAAATTATTCAATTAAGTAAAGTCATTAGAGATTTAAGTACCTACGTTAGACATGATGATGATTTTTGTTTAATTAAATAAATGAATTAAGTAATTTGTGTATTTTTATGTAAGCAGTGTGGTGACGATATCGTAGAACAAGTGACAGTGAGTCCCATCCCTTCTTCATGAACAAGAATATTGGCCCCTTGGGAACATCTAGTGCACAAAAAGAAATTGACAAGCTCTAAAAAGCTCACTTCTCTACCCTTTATAGGCTCAAGTTCCTTCAGAGCATGAACAAAATATCAACGAGGAATGCCGTCGGGCCCGGGTGCTGTGTTTTTCTCCCGCAGTCGAGACACAGTCGCTTAATTACCTTACTCTCCTCTTCTCAGGGACTTTGGGAATTGACACTGTCTTCTGCTGCCGTGATATTGAGACATGTTAGCACAACCTTAGTGGGTTTTGGTAGATAAGTAACATAATATAATTCTATATACATCTTTTATACTAACAAAAAAATATAAACACATAATGCAGAGCTGTCGGGGTGACGGAAAATTTTCAGGTTCATCGGGGAGACGGTATGCTACCACATTTTAAGCAGTAATAGTGTGTTCCACAAATGTGTTTGAAAACTAAGTGATTCTTAAATCAAATTATTTTAAATATTAGCATAGGTACCTATAGTACCTATTAGTAGTGCCCAGTAATTGGTAGTGTATAAGTATACACGTTTGTGGAGGCATACGCGTTCTTGTACTTGATATAAATGTAGAAGAACCATTTCATCCAGATCTCCATAGGGATTGGGATGACGTGGAAAACACGTATGTTTACACGTGATTATGTAACAAACATACACACAAACACATAAACTCACAAAAGGACATCAACCACTTTGTATGAAGTTTGGGCTAGAACATGAACATAAAAAATGCACTATTTTAGATTTTATTGGGTGGCTTATAATACAAAGAAAACGTATAGATTAGAAGTTTTGTATCAAATTGATTAATATAATACAAAACAAAAAATAACTTTAATATTTTAAAAATATTTTTTTTATTTGTAAATCTATTCATTTTCATATGTTAATAAAACATGGTCTAAAAACTGAGCAGGTGGAGTTACATTTTCATACCTTGCCCAGCTTAAATACCATACTACCTACAGACATGATATGAGCGCAGTAACAATCAGAATATTCAATTTAAAATCTTTTTTAATCGTTTTTATTATTATTTACTTTGACACTCCCGAATAGAGACTATGTTTACTAAATATTATTACTAATTTATGTATAAATTCCTTTTTTTTCCAATACGGTTGTTCAACACTTAGCCCATTTTGGTTGAAGTCCTTTCATATTTATTTATACAGTAAGATTAGTAGAATTGGCATCGGCCAATCCTACTAATCTTACATCATGCATCGGTGTGTGCGTACGGTGTGCAGCGGTGATATTATAATAGGTGCAAGCTTTAGGTGCTTACATAAATAACGGTCGGAACGAGGGAGTCGGTACCTACCTGACATAGAAAAATTACCACGGCTTATAATAAGCTTTGGCACAGTGGCTGCGAACTGGTTTCCGTGCAACGTGATTTCCACACGAAACAATTGTTTGTGTTTGACATTACTTAAGTAATTGAACTTTTTTCCAAATTAAAAAACTTAGTTTTATTATCTCTTGGTTAGACCCTTCTCTACGGTATAATTTATTTTTAAAGATAGCCTGACGCTAAAATTATTTTCTGTGTCGTGGGTGCGTTAACCAATGTAAAAACACACTGAAACAAACATTTTTGGATCACACAAGACGTAATTCCATGCGGGAATCAATTCCACAACTCGGTGTGTACAGCAGCTCGTTACCCAGTTGTTGCACTAACCATACAGTTAAACTACAAATTCTATTATTAGGCTCTATTGCTTATTCACACCCAAAAACACATTGACTACATTTTTCGTAGTACTTCGTAGCGGCGTCGTAGCAAATTCGCAAACATAACAAAATTGTTATAACACTGTTTGACTTCTCAAACCTTTGTGTATTGGTCGACACAGATGTTCTGTCGTTGATCTATCCAGATTCTGAAAGAATTAATTGCTGTCTATGGATTTAATTTGTAGTTGCAATATATCTCAAACTATATATAATGAAACTGATAATAAGTAGGTAAATCATTTTAGAGGATTAGTTTTATTAGATCCTAAGATACATAA